TACGGTTGTTAGTCACGTTAGTCTGAAGCAGAAGACAGGGCAAGGTGCCACCTTTCAGTCCGTGGCCTACAAAAGGTTATGCCACTTTGAACCAGTTAGCTTCTAGGGTGCTGCCTTGCCCTGCCTTCTGCTTCACTATCTTTGTAACATCAGTTCAATTTATTTGTGACATAAGGAGCCTGCACTTCACTGGCTTTGGTATCATCTTTCCTTTGTATTGTTCACTTAATATCAACCTGGCTGCTACAAGCTGACCTATGATGCAGACTGTCCTGTTCATAGAACTCCTCTTCCACTTAGCTGCCTTCTGATGTTCCACAAAATTAAAAATATTTAGTTTTGCTCCAGTCACTGAGCCAACAGCTTATCTCCAGGGTTTTTTTGTGTTTCTTTTCCCTCAGGCATGATAGCAGAAGGGTCCCTGAGAAGATCACTTGGGAATTCATTGCCCTTCCTAACTCTCCAAAATAGTTTATAGCTGTGTAGCTATAAATGAGGCCATATCATCACTTCCAACATGGGATGATATTATATATCACTCATTAGTAATTTCATAGTCCCAGTTAATCTTGAAATTAAGTCTTGCATTTTCCATATTGCAAAATCTTCTCTTTGTGAGGTCGGTGGCAATAAGTTCTGAGTCTGGTTGCCCAAGAAACCATTATTTTCTCCATAGCTATTGTAGTATTTAAACTTATGCTTCTAAATTATTTATCTTTTCTCTACCCTGACTTACCAGCCTGCACTTCATACACCAGAAATCAGCTGTGTCTACCAGCAGAAAGGAAAAACACAGGTCAAGCAGAGGTGTCTTTATTATCCATCTCTGCTACTACTTGTAGAAACACCACAGCAGGAAAAAACTATGCACCATATCCTTTAAACTCGCTTGAAAACTCTCATTTGCCATTCCTGCCAGATTCTCAAGGATTTAGTAATTGAATTAAATATAAAGTCTTACTGCTTAGGTCTACTCCACTGCTGACAGGGAGAGATTAACCATTTTAATTTGAAACAATGAGTTTGATCCAAAATCCAAATATCCTTGTGTCTTGACAGTGACACAAACAGATCGACCTCTCTTAGCTGGGATATTCAGGACCCAAAACCCCAGTCTAGCATTTCTCATGAAGACAAAATGAACAAGAACATATCAATGAACACATACTTCCCTCTCTACTAATTTATTTTCCTTCCATGCACAGAATCCATGGCTATTCCTTCCAAAATCATGCTATCTGCAACTCACAAGATCATAGGATCATGTTCTCATTGTCATGGTGTCAAGATAACAAGAAGAAAGTTGAAAGCTGCTTAGCTTGAATTCAGAGGGTAATGGAGGGAGAATGTGATACAAGAGGGCAAGAACTAGTGTGGAGGGTTTAGGATGGGGCAAAGTAGAACAGGAGTGCAGGATTTTTAAATGTCAATGTTTTGCTGCTGCTGCTCAGATACCCATTTTACCACTGGGATTCATGGCTACCTCTTATTTGTCCTACCCCTTGAGCAGTTGTTCTCAATTTTTTTAGACAAAAGACACCCCTGGCCTAACTTTTCTGAGTATAGTGGCTCTGCAATTCAAAAGTGTCATTATTACAGTGCATTAAAATAATGGTGTGCACATGCACACATGTACAAACACATACACACTTATAGCAAACTGGTCCATTAAATCAGCTGTACATGTAGCCACATGGAGAAATAGAACATGATGCCTTGACATGCAAGTGCAGAGGGCAAGGCATCTCCTTCGTTCAGTGAGCCCTGAGTCTCATGGACTGGACCCTGGGGGTTCCAGAGGGATTCACAAGATGGAGAGATGCCAAGGCAGGCTTCTATGTCTCCCAGGGCAAAATGCGCCTTATCTGCTAGGCAACTGATGGCACAGCTCACCCAGCACCCTGAGAGAAGGTCAGGACCTAATCCCCAGTTGGGGGATTTGGTACTGGAGTCTGAAGCATTGCTGCTTTACCCTGTCTGAGCCCAGCAGGAGTAGAAGAAGCATTTACTACAATGTATATGGTCTGATTTCCTAGAGGTGCAACTAGTAAAGGTTGGGCCCTGAGCCAGCACTTCACAAATATGGTGGGTACTCTCATACTTCCCCTTCTGCCTGCTGTGATGCTGCTTACCCTCCCACCTGCCTTGCCCTTCTCTACCCTGCTCCAGGAATTTCTCTGCACCACCTCCCCACAGCATCCAAATGCCTACCGTCTCCCTAGCACTCCCAATCTGTACTGAGGGCTGCTCTCGCACTCCCTACTGCAGCCTTGTCACTTACCCTGCTGCTGATTCACTTGTGAGCTGCATGAGCATGCAGGGGGAACCCAGAGTGGGTGGGCAACCACAGAAGTGCCCGCTGTGCTTGGGAAATGCTGGCCCAGAGCACAAACCAGCAGGGAAAGGGGACCTCAGGTGGTCCTTTTCTAAAGTCAATGCCTGGGGCTCGTGTCCCCCTTAGCCGCCCCCTTCTGCCACAGCTGCTTCCTGCATGTCATCTCACAGAAACAGGCACAAGGTTGTTCTATCCTGAAGTGGCAGCCATGCACCACCCTGATCAAGAACCACTGCCCTAGCAAGCTGATCTCCATAATCTACTTTTGCTTCCAGTTATTGTTAGCTCACATGGCAGACATGTATTTTGTAGACCAAAAGTTCCTAACCACACTGATGATCCTAGACAGAGGTCAATATGATTCTTCAGAATGGAATTCCCAAGTTCTTTAGTTTACTTCTTAAAATTCCTAAGGAATTGCCTAGGTTAAAAGACCACTGCGTCTGCAAAGTTGAACACTCCAAATTTAGGGAACTGCAGAATTAAAATGTTCTTTGCCATCTTACTTGGCCATGAGTTTAATTGTGTTACTATCTTGAATTACCAAGATCAGATGCTATTTTTCCACAGTACTGCTGTCTTATTGAAAGGACATAAAAAACAGCACTCACATAATGAATCAGGGTTGTATTATTTAACAAGGCTGTTGTCTATATTACTCCCACCTCCTTTGTTGAGGATTTTACAAGGTGCATAGCAAGTACATCAGGAGATTGCAGGCAAGAAAAGAAAAGATGGTCTCATGGTTCAGGCAGCTGAAGTCATCTCTGGAGAATTTAAATTATCTCTGCTTCTGCTGCAGAGTTACTATGTAATGCTGGATAAATCAATTAATCCAAACTTTTTCATAGGTGGTCACTAACTGCATGTTTTCCATTTTGTGGGTGCCAGATTTGCTGAAATTATAAGCTCTCAGTGGCAACTGATGCCAATGGAAATTGGATATTGAATATACAAATACTATCAAATGCTACATTCACTGAAAAAAATCAGGCTCTTGGCATTTCAAGTCAGGCAACCAAACTTAGCAGACACTTCACACATTTTGTGTTCCTCAATTCCCACCTATAAAATGGACATGATACCACCTTACCTGACACAGATGTTGTGAGGATGAATTAATTCACCTTTGTGAAACTCTTATATTATATTAGTAATAAGCACCATAGACAATTCCATGAGGAAATAAATAATGCTGTATACAGAGCATGATTTGAATGGTATGTCACAAAAGGTATGAGCCACACACTAAATTATCAGGTTAGTACAGAAAATTGAATGGAAAGCACTTTCCATCCTGTGCATTGAGGAAGACAGAGGGTCTATGTTAAAAAGTTTGTATGTGATCATGTAATGAATGACTACACCATACTTCAGATATAGAACAGAATTAATTAAGGCTTATGGGCAGGGAATCCTAGCATATCCCAAATTTTGAGTGCCTGAATTTGTATCCTTAACGTTCTTTTAAACTTTGCTTTCATGTAATTTCTTGGAGGAAGGCTTCAGCTTAAAGCAAACAGTATACACAGATTCCTTTGCACAGAACCTTAATTACTCCCATATAGTTCATCAACAGGATCAGAACCTTCAGATACACAGAAGAGACCTCTGCTACTTCAGCTAACAAAGTAATTTATCATTAAGGCTGCCATCCTTAGTGCAGGTCAGTTAGTTGCTAGAGGGAAATGAGGCACATTTTGCTTGCAAGTTAAGTATTTGCTGTCAGCAAAGGAATGTTTCATAGATGTTGAGGCCTTTTAGACAATTTCAAGAGACCTAAATAATTTTATAATATGGGCAAAGTAACTAGCCTTGTTCTCAGAAAGTGCTAAACCATTTTGTCTGACACTTAAAAGAAAGAAGAGAAAAATCAGCCCAAGTCAAAATAGCCCAAACAGTTAAAATTTGGCAGAATCATAAGCAACTAAAAAAGGCTCTTCTAACAAAGAGTGCTGAAAAATGTTAATAATATATGTGTTATCAGTCTATCTTACAAATCCAGTTACTTAACAAGCTAAGATTATTATTTCAGAAACCAAGTGAGTGTTCAGTGGGCTACACTTTTGCTTCTGGACATCCATCTTCAAACTTTAGGTCATGTGTGAAACAATGTGATGCATCCCATTTACCTTATGACCAGATCTTATAAATAGCATGGAGTGAGGGGCTGTTTATTATCTTTGCTTAGATGCAGCACAAGACTGAATAGCAGAACTAGTGTGAGTCATGACTGAGCTGTGCAATGACCCTAGCTGGAAGACACTTGGCATTCATTTGTTTGCTGCTTGGCAAGGCCATCAGCCCCTTGAATGAGCATCAAGTTCTCCCAAAATCTTAACATCATGATAACTCTGTTTACATATGGATATATTTTAATATTCAGCCAATAAAACAAAACTATTATATCAGCCACATAATTCTATTTGGATTCTCAATTAGATCCTAGATTGCCTTTAAGTGTGAGCTATTGTGCTATAATCCAAAAGGAAACATTTTCTGCTCTTTCCCAGGGCTAACTATTTTTCCCTTTCGAATTTAAATCTTTTCCCCAAGTTTTTAGAAGCTTGGAAGTTTGAGTTACTTGTAGTTGGGGAAATATCAAGTTAAAAAAAACTGTGAAAAGGCTGAGTGTTAACTGATCTAGATTTGACTGGGTACTCACTCTGTCACACAGCTCTTCAAATGTGAAGTCTGCAATGGTTCCACATGCTTTATTCAGCCTCAGCGCTCTGCCTTGCACTTTCAGAATCCTTGGTCTAGTTACTATGGGAACATGAACAAAGACTCAATCTTGTCTGGATAATTACTATAAAATTCATCTCTTACAGATAGGAAATGCATAGCTTGATGAATAATAGCACATGATTCAACACATAAATTAGACAAAATGCTGATACAATGACTGCCACTTGAGTGTGGCATCAACCCATATACAGCAATGGAACTTATTAATTGGTCAGTGGAGATTGGGCATTGTGTTCTAAATGTATTCTCTTTCAAGAGAAATTAACTTACGTACAATCATTTTGTTTCTGAGCCAGCTCATCAAACAACTTATCCATGACAGCCTCCACATCAGCTTCACTTGTGCTACAGTGAAAAGAATAATAGAATATGAAATTAATAACACTTGAAGCCAACATCAAACAGCTGCCTGAGCCTGCTTAGCTTTTTGCCCACAAAAAAAAAAAAGAACAGGATGTTATGCTCTAAATACAAACATTAGATTTAGAATACACTTAAAAGTAGAGAATATTAACTCTCAGGTAGATGATTCTGCCTTATTTGCATACACTGAAAGACTTCTGTGTTTTGAGCTGTTTTCAGTAATGAGGCAATAGAGACACTGCAAATCCATTAACACTATGTGTACACAATGAGAAAAAAAGGCTTCTGGCTCTATCTGGCATGCAAAATAAGAGCAAATAGACAAGGCAAGGCAGTCAAGCATCTAAAGAAATATCCTTTGAAACCTCTGAGAGGGGACATAGCAAAATTAAATATTGAAGCAGTATTAAAAAAAATCAAGTCAACTGATTATGCAGATCAAAAATTTATCAACATTAAATCAACAGATCTGAGATGGCAACTGCTGTATATATCAATACCTTTAAATGAGTTCTTTGATGATCGTTTGGAAAAGATCATCTATGAAAAGCAGTTTCACACAAAATGCTTTTGTTAGAAACCAAATAAACTTTCTACCCATCTGTAACCACTGTAAGACTTTTGAAATTTGTCTGATTACAGAATTTCAAAAAAAATCTAGTTAGAAGTCAACATTTAAAGGCCCCAAGTTTACAACTGTGATCATTTTTGTGGCCTTTTTTCCTCACATTATTTATAAAGATGAAGGGTAAATAATATGCTCAGCAGAATTTAGAAACTGACAATAGTAATTAAAAGCTATTGCATACCTTCAAACTAAAATTTAGGTATAAAGTGTTTCCAACATGACACACACTGGCCGCGTCTATACGAGATGCTTTACTGTGCAATAGACTAATCTATTGCATATTAAAGCACCACAATCTACATGTGCAGGCACTTACTGTGCAGTAAATTAGTTTACTGCGCAGTAAAGCCAAATAGCATTAATAGCATGTGTAGACATACACACTAAATATAATTCTGATGTGAAAGGTACATTTTGTAAAAGGCATAGATATGCTGATGTTTCACTGATAATAAAGGCCTCCTCTAATTGAAAAATTATAATCAGTAATGTAATACGATTATTTTCTTAAGCACATTAACTACACTCATCACTGGAATCAAGCTGCAAGTTCAAAAATACAAAAATCTTGTAAATTTACAAGAGAAAAGCCTCAAGTATTTCTGAGAAAAATGATTATATATAGCATGAAGTCATAAAGGAGAATCAGGAGTGACAACTTCCTCAAGCACCATTTCAAAGAGTAACACTTAAAAGTGCTGCTGAATGGAAGCTATTTTAGAGTAAATTTCTAAACATTTTATTTAAAAGTAGAATCTGTTTATAATAATAATAATAAATCAGTGGTGCATTACTACAAGGAAATGATAATAGAAATGAACCAGCTCAAACCAGGAAAAAGATAAGTGTAAGTGAAACATCTATGCTACTGTTCACTGATAACAATGAGTACGAAGTGCATGAAAACTGCTTTTGGATATATATTTGTGCAGAGTTCCTGAGAATATTTCTTTTGAAAATGGAGCCTTTGGAGTGAAACAAAGAAAGTTTGCCTTGGACAGGACTCTTGTAACACTGACAAGCTAACCATTTGAAGATGAATGGAAAATAGTTTTAACAAATATTTATTTGCATATTTAAAATCAGAACAAACTCTATAAATTCTGGGGGAAGACAACGATTATGTTTTTAAAAATAATTCCAAGTCAGTGGCAGCCAACCCTCTTTACATGCATGCTACAAATTAAGCCCTGAACTTCCCCAAATGGCACTCTGATTAGCTACGTTTCCCTATCCAATCTGTTGCTCTGCCTGTTTCTCTCTCCCTGATCAGCTGCTCTGTTTTCTGCTCCCTGACCCCTCCTCCACCTGCTATGTGCAACAAAGAGATTGTCACTTGTGGCATGCATGCTGGAGGTTAGACACTCCTTTTCTAAGTGATCATTCTAGTGTCATTCCCAGTACATTTGCATCTATTGGGTAGTCTTAAAACACAGCTAAAGTAGTCATATATGCTGTTATCTACAGTCCTGCACTCAGGATAAACAGGGATAAGGTGCATTTAACACTGATTAAACACAGCTTAAGCTGTTCACAGTTCACCCTACTGGAACCAACGGAAATGAAACAGAAGTCATGTTCTAATCAATGGCATATACAATATTAATAAAGCATCTACAGAAGGCCATTAAAGAGGTTAGCATGTTTTAATCACACTTTCTGTTAAAATGTTTTGCTCATACAAACCTTTTATGAGGTCACATTTTTTCTAAATGCAGACATAAAAAGGAACTGTACAAATTAAAGTTTTGCACGATGTATTATAGAATGGTAAAATGGATCCTTCTTTCCACCATTCCCTGAAAAATTTCCTCAGTTCAAAACTTCTATGGTACTAAAAGATCCAGACACTTTCCCCAAATAATCTTATGGAGAATTTTAACCTGCATAATTTTAAAAAAATCCAAAACTTCTAGTACTTGGTAGGGTCATCATGCTACTGCAAGCAATATATTGTTTTTGTTTTACACAGGCAACCCTATTTCAGGTGAAGCTTGGAAGACTACCACCATAACTTCCACCCTGAACCTGGGGAAGTTTACAGTTTTCAGGGACAGAGTTACCCAATTCTTTTATCAAAAGGAATACTGCTGTGTAAGCAGAGGGTGTAAGAACTGGTTAATTCTGAAGAGGGAGGTAAGCAACAAAGATACAAGGTATAACTGATAGCAAATGATTTGCAAGCCTGACAGAAGAGTTAACACTGGCTTTGCAAGGCCAGAGGTCCTCATACACAATTTTAAAAATGATATAGTTCCCACACAGGTGGTCATTAAGGAAAATGAAATCTCTACCTATCTTCATTGACATATAAAGGATCTCCTTTGTTTTTGCTGCTTTCTATCACTTTACCTCAAGGAATTAAGAAGCAACTGATCTACTCCTGGTCTCAGATAAGCGAATGGAACTACTATATTTATTTGAATATAAGATGATCCTGATTATAAGATGACCTGCCAATGATTATATTTTATATATATAGAAAAATTAAAGATTTGTTATAATTTTCAGGTACAGAATCTAATAACTGGAGATTTATCTTGAATTTGTCCCCCTCCTATTGCTACAGCAAGGAAAATAAATGGGGGGGCTGCGTTCAGATATTCCTCTTGCCCTATGCCTCCCCTCAACTTGTTCCCCCTGCAGCCCCTTCCCCTCTTGCTTACTGTCAGACGCTGCTCTCCCTGAGCACATGGAAATGAGAAGCAAATTTGAAAACGACCTTGAAATTAAACATAGCTATAGTAATTTGCATACAGTATCTATACACTTAGTTCATCCAGAATTGATGCGTGTCACCTTTTTTTGAAACTGCTGCAAGTTTTATCACTACTCCATAAACACACTTTTAAGCAACACTTAAATTAGCACTTACCTGTTGTACATTACTTGGTATTAGTCCAAAGCCAAAAGGCTTGCAATTTACCATATAGATCATTGGGCTGGGCCCCAGCAAAGTCAACGTTTCAAACTATGGTGATTCCAGAGCTCAGCACAGCTCAGTATGTGTGTGTACTCCAGACATTGCCCCCAAGGATCTATGTGCTAATTAGCTCCACTTATGATTGGAACTGGGTATTCTTGTCATAACTCCTGGGATGCTCCAAACAGTTATACGCAGATGAGGTGCAGGGCAACCCGGTCCAGTTCAACTTCATAGAGGGTGGGACCACACTAATTATATGAGAGATGGAGCAACAAGGCAAACTGTTTGGGGCCCCATTTGGTGATGTATGCCAGGCATTTAAGGCTGGTGAAGAAGTAAGAAACAGGAATAATTGGAAATGGGAAAAAGGCACAGTTCAGGTGTGAGAGTGTAGTAGTAGTCAAAATGTACGTTGTGGCTCACCAGAACTTGGGGAAAAAAGCCGGCACTGAGGAGGACTATGTGCAGTGGGGACTGCCATGTATCTTATTCAGATAGTCTGCACTAATCTGTCCTTGTGGTAGGCTTCCATTCATGATGAATACTACAAGAAGTGAAAGGAATGGGCAAACAGGTCGGGGAGTTGGGGAGGGGACTGAGGTAGTCCTTTGCATAATTGTGATGGGTTCAAGGTAACAGTGATGGGTGCATGGGTGAGCGGGCATGTGGGAACATGGGTACACAGTGCAGTCTTGGTAATGGGACTAAGAATGATGCAACTGTAAACATGTGATTTGGACTGTCAAGTGAACCATAGTGGTCACAAGACAGGTTGTTAAATACAGTTGTATATCTATTTATACATATAGAAATAAATATTTTTGCAAAAAAACAACAACAAAAACCCAAACCTGTTGCAGGTTCCCATCAGCATGTTTGATCAACATGGGTCATGTGTTTCATAGCCATGCTCAGTTTTGGCTGCATTTAATCAGCTCCATAGTTGTTTTGCATTACTGGAAATGACAGCTGTGTATTTAATGAGGTTTCCTTGTATGCAAATGTTAGATGAGGGCTTTTGAGGTAAAACCCTTGTTTTATATTTGAGTAAATATGTATCTTCAGTCCTTGTTGTTTATTCTGTAACAGGGCACTCACCATACATCCTAACATATATATGCATCCTAGCACAAAAATGATGTTTTTTTTGAGAAGCCTGTAATTGCAGATGACATGTCTAGTCCTAGACATGTACAGGAAAGCATGTTTAAGGTTTCCTGCCTCTGAGGAGTAGGAGGTGGTGAGCAGACACTATACTTATCAGAAAGAAAGCCTAAAAGTTGGATAGGTGGCAGGAAACACAGCTTCAGCTTATGAGGTGTCTGGGAGGATTCTGAGTCAGAAGCCAAGAAGAGACAAGGTAGGATGGCAATGAATAGTCTGAATTTGGTATTTCTAGGGAAACATAGAAAGCCAAGAATGACTGCCCAGTGGAGCTGACCACTTATTTACAGATTCTATCCCGCAGAGGGTAACCATGTTAGATCCATAATCAGAGCATGTGAATAAGGAACTGGCATTTGAACCCTAGTCTCTCACATGACAGAACGCAGACCTATTCATAATTACCCAAATATTTAAGTGTAAGGTCCTAAACAGTGCCCAGGTCTTTGTGAGATCAGGGCCTAGATGTGTACCATTTTAATTTAATAATTTCAGTACTGCAGGAAAACATGCCAATACCAGACACTTAGAAAAAAGGAAAAAACTCTCTAGCATCTAAATTTTGTTCTACTGTAATTTTTTTAATAAAGTAAATATTTAAAGAATAATTTCATTGCTGTAATTGTATTAATTAGCTTTTTCCAGATCAACATATAACTAATTCTAATAATAGATTAATTTTAAGAGGTCTGTCTCCCAAACTGGGAACCCCAAAGATGCTCAAAAACTTTTGTCACTGGAAACATACTTTGGTGCTAAATTGAAATTATACTTCAGGCAAAAAGGTATTACAGTAACACCTTTTATTTAAAACATATTTATCTGTGCTGCTCTTGTTGTCACTGATCTAATGATAGCTTACCCTAGCAGCAATTTGGAAAAGACAAACATCTGTGATACAAAAGGGTTCCAACATTTTAACTAAAAAAGTTGTTGTTTCTATCAGATACATCCACAGTTGTAGTTATGTCTCTATTATGTATTACTTAAATATTTTATTTTCAAATATAAAATAAGTGCTAAAGTAAATTCATCATAGTAAATACTAACAGATAATATGTCATAATAAGACTTTTTTTTTTAAATCCACAAATAGGAACACCAAACATTAAATGAATCCTTGTCAGAGAATTTCTATAAATACTTAATTACCTTAATACAATAAGGATGTTCTTCTATAACAAGTGAATTGTGCAATCTCTTTACAAGAGGATATTCATTACTTTGAAAGCATCTGTCACTTCAGTTCTCCAAACACCACACCTCCCCCCAAAAAATCTAATTAGTTTTAATTCAGTCACACATTATAAATGATGCTAGTGGGGATATTGAAAATTTAGCTAATGAAGTTAATATCATGGCATTATGCAAGGCGTTGTGCTGTACAAAATGGACCAGGAGGCCAAAAAAATTGCTAATTGTATTATGTATTTTTAATCTCTTCTTGACTAAGAAATTAACAGCTATTAAGGAGGGAAAAAAGGGCAATACCTCACAATAAATCCACTTACAGGTAGTAAAGTTTCCCTGCTGCAGGAAGCACCCGTTTCCGGTAGTCTATTCCGGAATCAAGTTGGACTGTGTTGCAGTATTTCTAAAGAACAAAAAGAAGAAGAGATTGATTACTTTCTGCAAAGTGTTATTGTGATTGTACTTCTAATTCTTTGCATTAAGGGGAAGGCACTTACGCTGATGGCCTAACAGCAATCCAGCAGCTAAGTAGCTCCAAGTTAAGATCATGATGTCTATTTTGCATTCATTTTAGGAAAAAAATTCAACAGATTGGAGATCATTCACAAATTAATAAGAAAAATAACTGAAAACTGATATAAAGTTTGCTCAAAAAGAGAACATCTCTTTTCCAGGCATCAAACAGAAGTGTTTAATGGGACAAAAAATGTTCCAACCTTATGGAAGACAGCATGTATAAAACAGAAAATTAAAATAGTGAAAGTTTGTAGATAGAACATAGTCTATCATGCTCTAGCAATACAAAAAGTCCCCTAAAACTACAACTGTACTACAACTCTGTCAGCAAAAGAATCTTTTTTTTTTTTTTGTGCAGGCAAGATGCTAATTCTTTGATCAAAGCGGAAATATAATCTTTTAAAATTATCAACTAATCTGAGTTTTGCTAAAAACAAAAACAAACCACAGAACACAGATAAAGACATCCTCTTTATTCACTGTTTTATTTCTTTACATCTGTCTTACCTTAATAAGGAACGTACAATTTCATTCTTAAATAAACATTTACCAACTTTAATTTTCCACATTTCAGTCATCCCCTGATTAGTCACCAAATCTATTGTCACAACGATTCTAGCAAAAAGCATAGAAGCAACAGTACTAGAGTAAATCCTGATCCCACTGAAGTTGACAGTGAAACTCCAAGTAACCAAAACAAGGTCAGGATGTCATCCTTCATTCTAAACCATGTGTGGTGGTGGTGGCAGCAGCAGTGGTGACAAGTGCTCAAGATTCTTTTAGATGCTGAATAACCAGAAACCACAATGCTATGAACACCAAGAGAGGCCTTCAGAGAAAGATAGGGAACCTTTTAAGGTCCGACAGATAATTGTGAATCAATAAAATAATTAAAGCAATAAAGTAGATCAATCTATCTGTAAATCACTACCATTAAGACCATCACGGATTCCAAGAATCCACATGCTGCCTAACTTCACGGATTTTCCAGATCTCTACCATCCCGCTCATTAATAGATTATTGTTAACAATTTCAATGGGGTTTCATACTTTGTAGTTCAGATTTTTTTCAAAGATTCTCTAAAACTGTTCTATTAGCTTTGTTTGGTCAGAATTATATTATTCTTGTAAATATAATTCACAAGTATAAAGTCTAATTTATAAATTATTAGATTGAAGAAAAAATATACTCTTTTTTTTAGAAGAACTAATTTCACTATTAACAATACCTCTCTCTGCTGAGTGTGCTACTTCCTTAGAACTTTATTAATAAAAAGTTCACATAGGAGACTGTGATAAGAGAATATATAGCATATTATAAATTTTTCCTTGGTCAGTGTTGAAGATTCTGCAGATGTACATTTATCCATTGCATTTTTCAATGTATCCCTCTTTCAACTTTTAGAAAGTAAAAAAGTTAAAAGATGGTGAGAATCTCAATATTGAAAAGTACAAAATTCTAGGAAACACAATACTTAAACATGCCCAGGAAGAGAAAAGCCCTGCTATAAAATCACTGTTGGGCTGGGCCCACATAGACCTGTGGAGAATAAAAATGGAATGACATACAGTAATTGGAAAAATATGCTGCATATTATCAGGCTGCATCATAAACAAGCACATGAAGGATGTTTAAATTTCCCGCCACTTTTATCCATACCACCTGGTAGGCAAGACAAGGTAGTACAGTCCCAACTCCCATGAGTCATTACTGATCATCTCATTATCTTGGATAATCCAAGAAGTAGATAAGCCATTGTAGTATTTCCTTCAAAGTCAAGACATATATACTGGCAAAAGGTATCAGTGCTAGGAGGTCATGTAGATATGCTCTGGATTCTTGATAATGCTCTGATCAGCTTTTTTTTTTCTTTTGGAAACAGCACAGGTATCTGAAAACACATGGGCATTCTGCTGGGGATTCTGGGAGTCCGGCCTCATTTCCTGCAATCTCTTCCAGCTTCTAGACAGCTTTGCAAAATTTTCCACTGCTCCAGGGAACTAGGCTAGAAGCTGCCTTGCTGCAACAAAACTGAAGTAGGGCCAAGAAGCAGAAGTGCACCTGAAACACTGGTTAACATGATCACTCCACATTGTGGTAATTCAGTGGTGTTGTCTCACTGGTCTGACTACCAATGATTCTGTTTCAGCAAAGTAACTGTTCTGTAGACATACCCCTCCGAGTGCTAGAAAGGAACGGGGTCTGGCAGAAGTACATATTAGCCTGTGACTATTATAATCCACTGCTTTTGTGTTATCTTTGTTGTCCTGTTTAAAATCTCCCATTTTTTGGGTACCATCTTTTTTCACTCCAAATCAGAATTTTCATTCAGTGTCTCATTTCATATTTTTTAATCTCTTTAGCAGAAGATTATTAATTACTGTATATCAATACTTAGTGAATTAGATGTCAATACCGGTCTCCTTGTGCCATGGCTTGCCAGTCTAACACTCTACTCAGCATCATATATCAACAGTTGGCAATAACCATAGGGTTCCAACTAAGAGAGGGAAGTTATAAAAAGGATGTCCTTATTTTTCTCTCTGGTCCTAGGAAAGATTCCCCTGAAACACAAAATCCCTATTAAAATCTGACTGTGAGCTACTTTGGAAAGGAATCATCTTTTACTTATGTGCATAAGCAGCAGCTAGCACAATAAAGCCTAGTTTAAGGACAGGGGCCTTTGGTGCCACCATGGAAAAAACATACAAAACAAATAAAGGCTCTGGACACTAGTATAGAAACTGATGCAGCAAAGCAGTACATGTGAGTTCTGTTGTGAGCAGTATTATTTACACAAAACTTAACATCTGTGCAAAAGAGCAGAGAACAGACAGGACATTTAATAAGGGATGGCAGCAGGAAGGCTGTTTGTGCCATTACATCAGTGTTTTCCACCCACACTAGTACATTTACTCAAATCCAAGATCAGCATTCCTCCCCCAACCCCCAAGTCAGCATTATGGGGAGCCTCGTTTTAGATTTGACTACCAGTCCCTGTCAGGCACCAGCTAAGCTCTGGCTTTGGGCTGAAGCTGGAGCTGAGCCACTGCCTGCCCCAAGCCAGAATGGCTTGTTTGGTGGGAAAGGGGGAAATACAGTCAGGGAAGGCAAGGGTGCACTTTCAGCCTTCTTCCCCACTCCTTGCTCCCCATGCCTGTACTTTCTCCAACCCCTTCTTTCAACAGTGGCAAGAAAACCACACACCACTAAAGTCCATTGGTTCAGATACACAAGAGACACCAAAAACAGGGTTTTACGTTCTAGTGTAGACAAGCCCCTGACTGATTTAAAAAAACAAAAACAAAAAAAAAACACTTAGGATGCAAAAATTGCATGCACAAATACAGACTGGGAAATGAGTGGCTAGGCCACAATACTGTAGAGAAGGACTATAAGCTAAATGTGAGCCAACAGCATGCTCTTGTTGCAAAAAAAAAAAGGCCAGCAGCATACTGGGTTGTATTAACAGTAGTACCACTTGCAAATCAAGGGAAGTGATTCTTCCCCTCTACTCAACACTAAGACCTCATCTGAAGTACTATGTCCAGTTTGGGGCCCCATACTTCAAGGAGGATGTGAACAGAATGGAAAGAATCCAGTGCAGGGTAACAAAAAGTGATTAGGGGCTTGGGAGGCATGACTTATGAGGAATGGCTAAAAGAAGTAGGGTTATTTAGTCTGAGGAAGAGAAGACTGAGGGGGAATTTGATAACAGTCTTCAAACACCTGAAGGGCATTTATAGCGTGGATGAAAATGGGCTTTTCTTCTATGGCCCTACAGAACAGGACTAGGAGGAATGGCCTCAAACTGCAGCAGAGGAAATTTAGATTGGAGATTAGGAGGAATTTTCTGACTATGTGGGTGGTCAAGCATTGGAACAAGCTACCCAGAGAAATTGTGGAATCTCCATCCTTGGGAATGTTCAAGAGCAGGTTAAACAGACACTTGACTGGGGTAATTTAATCAGGGATGATCCTGCCTTGACCAGGGAGCTGGATTACATGACCTCATGAGGTCCTTTCCAGCATTACTTTCCTATGATCCTATCATCATGTTTTGTTTTCATATTTTCAAACTGCATAACAGTTCCTTTCCCAATCTCACAGGAGTGTGGTGAAGACAAAGTCAGCATTTGCAAATAACTCTGACAAGGAAATGCTATACATACTAGAAATAAAAATACATTTAAATGTTATCAATTCAGAAGTTAGTTTTTACATTTTTTTTTAAATTTAAAGGTGAAAATTACTGAAGGGCTATACCTACGTGGTTTCAAAAAGAAAAAAAGACCACACACATTGTTCAGAAGTACAAAAATGAAATCAGGGAGTGGGTGGATTGGCAATAAATCTCTATACTTTGGTTTCCAGTAAGACTTTAAATTCATGCATTTAGGACTGGAAAAAATGTATTAAAATTTCCACGTATGTTCTTAAAAACTTGGTCAAAGACTTCCCTACCTTTTATCCTTCATCTTTTGTTAGCATTAAAAAGACTAATAGGAATTATACAAGTTTTAATTTCTCTCTCTTTGGGTAACTAACTTCTCCATCATAGGACTGATTAAACCCTACAGATGTGATTGCATTCTCACATTCACTAATCACCACCAAGAAATCCTAATCAGCAGCAAAAGAACTTTAACTGGAGTCCTTAGATTGTTAGTACTTAATTGACAAAGCCACAATCCAAACCACTGGTTTACATTTTTAAATGGAGTTTTAAACTTCAGAGTTCATTTGCTTATGATAGACTTCTCCTACTTTTATCCCTAAATAAATACATGTGGGGTCAAGGCTGCAGTTAGCCTAATCTGTTCTTGTGCAACTACTAATGGTTTTCAACAAATTTTCTGTACCATGGGGATGTTTCAGAGCTGACT